CGCGTTTGGGGGAACATCTTGAAGCGGGAGGATGACACACGGGGTAGGAACATATACCCAAAGTTTGAGCCTCCCCGTTTTCCTGGTTGCTGAGATGAAAGTGGGTGACAAAATGCACTCACTTCCGCACGTACACACACACACACACACAAACACAAACACACACACACACAAACACAAACACACACACACACACGGACACAGAGCCTCTCGACAATATGTGTTTTTGCTGGCAGTATGTGTTTTCACAATACGCGTTTTTGCTAGCGTTGCACAGCAAAAACGCATAAAAACAATAAATAAGCCGAATACCACGGCACAAATTTTGGGCAATAAGTTTCTTGACTATGCATTAAATGAATGAGATAATACGTTCAAGAATCACGCTTGTATAGTGCTATTTTCACCAGACTGGTTTACATAAACAGTCGAAATGGGCTTAGATTGTTTTTTCCTGTTCTGAAATTAGGAGGCAGGCTCTTGTTTGTTTGTGAAGCCATACCAAAAATACCAATACCGCTCGAGCTATCAGTGCAAGTATCCCTTGTTACTGATGTTGTTAGAATGCTCCCACACGCCGAGCGCAGCCATACTAGGCTCTTCGATTATGCGTTGCATCCCCCAGTAAGAACCCATTACCTGGCCGATGTATGTGCACCACTCCTTCTGTCGGCTAGACAAGCAGCATATCCTGCTCAGAGGGCTTAACTTTCTTGCGTGGTTGCAATGATGCCCTGCATGCTGCCTTTCTGAAAGGGTCCGACTGTTTATATTGTCGCTTACAAATAAGCCAGGTATTCTTCGCTCTGCCGCTCTCTCCGTCACTGCTAGCGTTTGCCCCTCGGCTTTTTTGAGTGATCACTTTTCGCATCCGTACATCATTGTCGCCGACAGAGTGGTATTGAAGAGTTGGGCACAGTCCTTCCGCTTCAGCAATTTGAGGATATCGGTGATGCTGTAGAATTTGCACCAACCGGTTGCTCTTCGACGTGCAGTTTTTGGCTGGAGATTATAGCGCATACTTGTTTTTGCTGTGCAGCGCTATAGCGCTGCTACAGTAAGCATAAACTCATATTGTCGAGAGGTCGTCCGTCTGTTCTGTGTTCGGAAATAAGTTAACTTTGTCACTCACCTTCAACTCAACAACCAGGAAAGTTGCTAAGCTGAAATTTTGGGGTCGTATTCCACCCTGTGTGTCACCCTTCCGTTTTAAAATCTTTGCTCGCACGCGCCTAGATCTTACATACGGGACCCCGAAAAAATATTCAAACATCATTAACGGGAAACGATTTCGTGAACCGGATAAGCTAGAAGGCTAAAACTTTGCAGGGATATTCTCTGTGATTTTATGAGCAAAGTTTTCAAATTCGGCCCTTGCATACGCTTATACCGCGTGTACGGTCACGTCAAAGTTTGCAGTTGGCACTGTGATAATTCGAAAACTAACCGGAAAGCAGTAGTTAAAATTTTGCCAAAATATTTATTATTAGTGTGGAAAATCGTATGCCTAAATTAGTTTCGATTTGCACTTGCGCTATGACTTAGGGCACTTCAAAGTGTAGTGAAGTGGCTATTTAGCTTACCAGACAAGCTGCGATGCTGGAACTTTGCGAGGATATTTTATATTCGTATGTGATCTTAATTCAGTTTACAGGCGAAATCCAGACATGATAAATTTTATCGCAAACTCAAAGTTAGCGCATTTTTAAGATTTCATAATCCTCTTTCGACTTTCTCAAATTTGCATTTTTTCAGTGAATGAGCACATACTCGAAAAACGACCTGGTTTCATGCAAAAAACTGATAATCATGTACACTGGAGGTTCATGGGGCTTCGTAACTCAACTTCTTCATCTCAGCCGACGCTCTTTCCCCCTGCATGCGGAAAGAGGTTAAAACACAGCTAATATGAGTCCAAGTATTTCAAAAAAAAACAGCGTAGAGACAAATTTGCTGTTAGCGATCTGCAAGTTTAGCGCAAAAATGCATTGTGGCACCGGCAAGTTTATTGCGTTTCGGCCTGGGTTTATTTATCTAGGGAAACGTAGCTGTCTACTTAGTGCACTGAAGTCAGTAATTTTGATTGCATAGCCTTTTTGTCTTGTGGTTGTTAAACTGGTCAAGTCTATGAAAATAGGTTAAAGCGTACCGCAGTCTCGGACTTGCTCATTATTTGTTTCACAAATCATTTTTTAGGCTATAAAAACAGCTCGAATCTGAAACTGAGAGCACTGGTTAACACACATTCAGGAACGAAAATAGATTTCAGGATTGTCGGCTCTCTTCGTTATATAGTCAAGAGCTGTGTTTCTAAAATCTTAGCTCCTTAGTTATCGTATTCTCGAGTTCACACCTACAGATAGGACCTCTCCATAATGCATTTCTATTTGTCTAACTAAACGGAATCAAGTAAAATAATCACATGCACTGGATTAGTGTGAATGTTTTAGTCAAGAAATAACAATTTATTTGCCAATGCAGTTTTCCTTCGGAAAAAATATTGTGCGGGCTTTCTACACCCTGTTTCACGCTGTCGCGTTGACTGTAGACACGTGAATACAAAAGCTTCCTTTTGGCAGAGTAAGCATAAATTTGTGAAAGTTGATGAAAAAAGTGTGAAAAGAAAGAATGGCATATTTGGTCTGATCGCGATTCCTTGTTGTTGGCAAGCCAAAGCCCCAAAGGAGTAATTGTAAAGTGTACTTTTCAGTTTAATGCTAGCAAGCCAAAAACAGTAGCCTAAGCTTAAGAGAAGAGAAAACAGAGGAATGGACGGCTGTGGCAGTTCTTCAGTCGACAATGGCTTCATATGAAGAAGCAAAATTCGCGAAGCGTCATTCTCATTCAACCGCCTATCTATCCATTTATCCATCCAACCATCTTCCACCCGGCGAGTGGTTGAATGGATCTCCTCATTCTGCTGTAGTAGCACTGCAGGAGGAAATAGCGATTCAACGCGCACTACTGGTTTCCACGCACGTTGCTTTCAAACAGCACATCACTATTGCTACAATTATATTCCAGCTATAAAGCCTGCCAGTTATCCGATGCAAGGCTCAAGACTGATGCAGTACGCGCGTAGAAAATACGCTAACAGGCTAAGTGTTGAGTCACATCAGCGCATAATCGCTTCATCCTATTCTGGTAAGTTTCAAACCGTTCATTTACAGAGGTCGGAGTTTAAAACACAGTGTTAGTGAAATCCTGACTTGATTCTTGTGAATTTTGTTCTGGGTGGATGTGGAAGCTCTTATGTTTCTATCATTTGGAATCCAGCGAAAATGTTATTGAAAAATATTTTACTTTCTACTTATTGCGCTTTTTTGTTTATGTGCAAATTGTAAAAACGCATATTGTGACGACCCATGGTGTGCGTGTGTTGCATGTTTTTGTGTGCGTGTATGTGTGTGTGTGTGTGTGTGTGTGTGTGTGTGTGTGTGTGTGCCTGTCCGGGTATTTCAACTCGACATCTATGCAAGCTCCGGCGCCAAAATTTTGGCTATGAGTTCCCCAGCCAAGTTTCACTCCAGGACCGCGGCACCAACTTTCACGTAGGTCTGGGCCCCGCGTACGAGAGGACGAAAGTTTTGGCGGGGAAATCGCTAACTCGAGAACTAGAAAAGCCAGAAAGCTGAAATTTTGAGGCTATATCTCCTTCCACTAGGAACACAAAAGATTTGAAATTCAGTTCCCAGGCACGCGTGGTTCCCACGTATGGCCCCGTGAAGGTTCCTGGCGCGAAAATCGCTAATTTGGGAAGCCAGGGAAGGTGGGAGGCTAAAATTTTCAGGGAATGTTCCCAGCACAAATGCGACTTAAATTTATTAAGTTCAACCCCTCGGTATGCGTGGTTCTCACTACAGTTCCATAAAACTTTTGGGCTGGAAAATTGCATATTCGGGAACCAGGAAAGCTGGGAGGCTGAAATTTTAAGGGGATGCTTCCTCTCCAACCACCGGGTGGACAAATAACTTCTCGGACTTCAAGGAACCATATGTCACACATTTCTAGCTACTGGGTTTCTGAGCGATGTCATTACAGCGCGAAATACTGCAGAAACGCACGATCGCACATGCCCGCCCAGTGCGCATCGCCAATGGTTTTTGTTTGCTCTTACATAACTAAGATTTAAGTAACGCACCAAGTTTGCCGGGTGAGAACATATGTTTCTGCACAGAGCGTTTTTCACATGCTGTATGGAGAGAAAAATGTGAATGTTATTTTTACGTGCATCTGCCTAAACATTATGGTTGTAGGCCACGTTCAGAAAATTTCGGCATTCTAGTTACTTTGGTTGTAACATTACGTAGAATTTCACATGCATGCACTCCAAACACATATATCTCATAAGACGTAATAGGAACGCGAAGGTTGCTTTTGTATGCACCTGCTAAACCTAGACATTCGTCATATCCAAAAAAAAATTGAGCTCTTTAGCTGCCTTAGTTTGGAGCTAAAAAATTTCAATTTTCACATGCCCTTGCGCTTGAGGTGAAGAATTACCCAAAAATTTCAATTTTCACATGCCCATACGCTTTCATGAGCATATATGTGGACATCAAACAGCACTGTAAAATTACTGCTCTCTAGATTAACCTAATCAATCTAATTCAGGTTATGCATAGCGCCAATTTTTGACGTATATGTATGCGAAACCAGTGCTGCATGAGGGCTGGATTTGAATTCTTTAGTCTACACATGGGCAAGGAACGTCTTCGTAAAGCTTTAGCCTTCTAGTTAACCTAGTTCCCAAAATAGCTTTGCCGCCAAAAAATTTTTCGCATACCCGTGCATGAGAACTTGAAGGAAATGAACATTAATTTTATGCCTATGGTCCCGCACTTAGTGTAGACTAAGTTGTCGGAGTTTTCAGCTTTATGGAATCTGATCTCGTAGGTCTCAAGATCGAAGAATTTGACAGATATCATGCTCGCACACACACACACACACACACACACACACACACACACACACACACACACACACACACACACAC